AAGGATCGAGTATATATTGCAGGATTTCGGTCAGTGCCGGTTTGGTATAGAGTTTTAGGAAGTTATGGTCGTCTACTGAGGAACTGGTCAGGCTCTATAGATTACGGTAGTTGGAGTATGCTTTGCGCATGTCACTGGTTAAGAACAACCAGATACATGAAACATAGAAAGGGCTATCTTCGATCACTTAGTGCATATACACCATCGGGTGAAACCATAATCCGTGTTTAGGCTAGTCCATAGTCTATGCCCAGATCCTCCAGATTGTACACACTAGTTATTGCTGAAGCGTTAAGCATCCTCATTTTGCACATAAACTGTGTACACACAAGTGATTGTTTGAACCTCTGCGTCTAAGACAGCCTGACGTTTACCACCACCACCACCACCATTACCAAAGTCCACTTAAAAAAATGTGGTAGACACAGAGGCTAAACAACCTGTTTGTTTGTTCACTCGTTGCCGTCACTTTCAACTGAACTGGGCAGCCGTGAAAACCCGTCCTCACCGAAACAAAACACATTTTGTGACACTTACAGGCTGGATTATGATACACCGAAATCAGTAGTTCATAATGAAGCACATGTTCTCGCATCACGGCGGTTTTGTTTTTGAATTCAAGGTCTGACTTCAGACAGTATTACCTAAATGGATCCCGCATGCTGCACCTATCACCCTCAAGGGCATGGACAATGTGAAATACTGATATTAGAATCCCTCTATTCGTCTTAAGTGAATCAAGTCCGTGTTTTAGCATCATACGGCAGAGCGAACAAAATTTGTTAGGTCAATTTGACGGTGCACCCGTTCACTAAAAGCACTACTAACGTAATTCACATTGTAATTCACATTTAGTTGCGAGCATCGTGACTGTCGATTTCACATAGCTAAGCATCTCCGAGTTCTATTCCACTTCGGTTCTCTATCAAACCCTTGTTTGTCCATTGCACGCTTTATGGAGGCTATTTCATGCCAGAATTTACTGAACTTCACTGTACTGTACTGTTAATTCATTTGATCTTCAACATGACGTCACACGTCTATCCCCTTTCCATCGCCATTAACACGGGATTTTCTTTTCGGAGGTTGATGGTCTCGCACTTCCCTAGTTTCCGTCGCCATCGAATCTTGGTCGCAACCTTACGTCGCCCTTACCAGTGTCGTTCAAAAGATGCAGTGTAAACCTCACTCTTCTTCACGTATGAAGATAAATTTTCAAACATTTTTCATTATCTGTTGTACTTGCATAATTGTGAGACTTCAAATCAGGGAGCATATTCAACAAGTTTTTCCTTAAAGGAGAAGTTACTTACGCCTAATGCAATGGTTTCGCCTTTTACTGTACTGCAGTCTCTTTATCTATGAATCACAATAAAGTCCTTTGACCATCTTCGTAGCGAGCCTTTGTAGACGCTCCGAAATTATATGATCACGTTGTAACCACGGATTGGAAGTTTGGATGGCATACTCAATATGCGGCCGGATGTATGCTGACAGCAGACGTGAGAATAAAGATGATTCAAAACGACCGAAAACACGTTTAAGTAGACCAACATGTTTGCGTGCTGTTGATGACGCCGTGGCACAGTTAATAGAACAGCTGTGGTCTTCGTGGACTATCACGCCCAAGTCCTTCTCTGTTGATGCATGCGGCATTAATTGTTTTCGAGGAACTAAGGAAACCGCCCTTGGTGGCAAAGGGAGATCACCTTGTATTTGGAGACGTTAAATTGGATGTCGTTCTCAATATACCATTTGTGAGCTGCATTCCGTGTCTCCTGGAGTTCCAGCGAACCCCCACTTTCTGTCACTGTCTTCCGGATTTTTACGTCGTCCGAAAACAATAATGTTCGTGGTCCTAGTACCTTTGGTAGGTCGTTTATGAGCAAGAGAAAAAGTCGTAAATCAAGCACAGAACCCCGGGGGACTCCGCGAGAAACGGCGATAGGGGCGGACAGTGAATTAGAGACTCGAACCAACACGGTCTGTTGTTGGAGAAACGAAGCAATCCAATCAAGCGCGAGGTCTCTGCCACCAAAATTGTATAGTTTACGGAGCAGTATTTTTTGGTTCACCCAATCGAACGCTTTAGAGAAGTCCAGGTAAACCACATCAACTGCATCGCTTCTGTCTACTGCCTTTGTCCATTTATCGCGGGCCAGGAGCTGATTGGTAGTACATGATTTCTTTTGACGGAATCCATGCTGGGCTCAGGAAAGGAGGCCTTATTTCTCTGAGCGTTCCATCAAAAGATCCGCTACAATGGATTCCATGACTTTGGATAGAACGGGTGGCAGTGTCACCGGGCGATAGTTGGCAGGATCACTACGACAGCCGCCTTTGTAAATTGGAGAAATTATGCTTTGTTTCCACGACTGGGGCAGCACGGTTGCGTCAAACCTCCTTTGGAATGACTCTTTTGACTACGATTCCTTCTTCGTTGCCTGCCTTCGATGCAAATCTATCGAATAGCCTATGATGGAACTCAGAAGCTTACACACGAACAGCTAGTACATCAGCCCCAGGACCACCGGGCAGCTAATTTAACGGCTACACAGTCTATACGTGTTATAGCACAAATTTGGCCGAGAGCGTCTCTCTCTACTCATATAAGAACTAACCACCAGTGTTATGCCTTAGTCCGGATTGTTCCGACTATCCTTCTGATTTGTATGAATTACTCTGTTAAATGGGAGACAGGTTCACTGTATATAGCGAATGCACTCTATCATGTCCTCACAAATTGAGGTTTTGTTCTGTTAACAACACGAGAATAGGCTATCGCGTACAGGTTAACGGAACACAATGACCTATCCAAATGTCCTTAACTAGTCAATGTTTTATTATTTAGCAGTCAAAAGCAAAACATGGTTCAAGTACAACATGCATTTGAGGAAAGCATCGGACGAAATCACTGTAGGTTGAGCCGTCGAGGAAAGCATATGCAAGTTGGTCGTAGTGTTTGTTCACTGTTGTCTCATTGTCAAGTCTTTGGATCATGCTGCAAAGTTTGTTGTCTGCCTACTTCCTGAGTACTCTTTAGCTAGGTCTCTCGATGGTCCCCACATCACAAACTAGATTTACTTTGCTTGTCCACTGCACTTTTGCACAATCAGATGATCATCTTGCTGTAAGAATCGAATGTACTGGGTTCGGATTGGGAAATGAAATCTTCCATTAAGTGTTCTTTGGGGTTCTGTTGTTCTCCAATATTTGTTTACTATTCGCATTGAGGATTTGTTTGGTTTCTGATCTGATGAAGTCATGAAGTATGCAGATAACTTTGGGCTATGTATGTTTGTTTGAAATCGACGTGATTTCCTTATTTAGTCTGACAATTTGACTGGTGCTTCAGACCTATTTTTCAATATGGTTTCAATTGTGAATCAGCAAAATTATCTCCTTTTCCATGGCGAAACCCTCAAATGTGGCAATTTTTAATTTTTGCACATCAATTTACAAAGGACACATTCATGGAACTGACAATGTTTCCATCAATTTCATCCAAAAAGTTTAATGAATACTAACATACACATTTCGAACTTTAGAATCGATATGAGCTGCAATGCAGTGTGAATCGCTTACGGGAAACGCACACAAATTCCGGAATTCATATTTGAGCGAGTTAAAAAATAACTCGAAAATGTACCAAAATATTGAGATGGATGTCAAGTTTCTTAAAAGATTGTGCTTTCGAGCAGACTTCGATTTGTTGTTTGCAGAGATATCTGGCAAAGGTGCTACGTTTCACCGTCCATCTGCAGTCAGATCGTAGGGTAGGTATTTGTGCTTAGTTCAAGTGAAATATACGACTGCTAGTTGAATGAGCAGCTAAAATCTGTGATGTTGAGCACGTAAGTGACCTCATTGCAGTATATGCGATGTTTACGAGGGGTGCAGTTGTCACACTAACAATTCCATCGGTTCATTGGATGCGCGATCTGAACGACAAAGTACAGTGTGATATTTCACGACTTATTAGAAGTTTGATGGTCAGCTAACGCTATGAAGGAGTGATGGATAAATGATAAAATGCCAACAGAAAAACCTGAAATACCCATCCAGCTATTGAGGTTCAGTGGATGATAACCAAACCAGTGTTATAGAGTGTAGTTATCTCGCTATAAAACGGAATGGGTGCATCACTTTGTCTGGTCTTTGAGTGAGGGAAAACCTGTTTGTCTTATCCCTTGAATTTCTCATCAAACTTATCAAACAGAAACTGCAGTTCTCATTATGTCAAATTAACTAGAGAGGGGAACGTCTGAATAACTGAATCACACTCGAACACAATGGGTGAGAAGGGGAACTGGTGCCAGGTACAAACCTGATGAGGCAAACGTGATTGGAGTAGTCTAGTGTCAAAGACAATGAGTAATGAGATTTGTTTGGTTCTGATTATTGGAGTTCCACTTATACAGACTTGTTCTTATGTTCCTCAGTAACGTATACGGCCATTTGACCCAACTCACGTTTGCCCTAATTTGGGATCAGACTCGGAGATGGCCCGGTGTGGATTAGGGGATAGAAGACTCGGTGTGATCATTCAAAGAACGGGGCACGACATGAACAGATAACAACGTCACACTTATGAACATTAATTACCATAGTAGAACTTACAACCAGATTAAGGGCTTTGCATTGTTTGGAAATGTGTCGATTTGTCTGGTAAGCAAATAAAGTTCTTGATCTAAGAGAATATCCGGTTTATTATCACTGTTCACCTTAAGAAAACTGAACAACTTCAACTAGTAGTGCATTATAGATAAAAGCAGATTGAAATATATTCGATGAAACGAACATAACCAATCGCTGTAATCCAGCCCATTTGTTATCATCGCACACACGCCCATTTCTTAGTGCTAGACTATGATTGGTCAGTTGAAACTGCCAGCTGATGGCATTTGCGAAAACATTCAGTACACCAATTTTACATTGCACAGTGAGTTGCACTACTGGTCTAGTGAAATGACTGCAGCTGCAACAGCCGTTCTAGTTCTGTTAGCCATATTCGGATTCTTGGGTGCAGTGATCAATACCATAGTGTTTTACGCTCTGTTCAAAGTGAAAATCGGATCTCGTCTGACCAGTACACTGATGCAATCGCAGTGTGTATTTAACGGGTTCACCTGCCTTGTGGTGTTTCTATACAAGGTAAGCGGATCCCGTATCACAACTGGACATATTTGGTGGGACACATTTTTCTGCTATCTGTGGAATGATGACATACTGATGTGGTTCGGAGTGGCCGGCGGATTGTGCAACGCAATGTGTATTTCCATCGGCCATGCGATCGCCGTATTTTTTCCAGTGTTTTACAAAATGTATCAAATCTATTTGATGTGGGCTCTACTCATTTATGTGATCGTGATTGATATACTCCTATATATTCCTATCCCGATGGCAAGAATCTATGTAAACGGAATATGCCAGTATGCAACTTCATTTTCAAGTATAACTTTGGAACAGTTTATTACGGTTGAGCGATACATGTGGCTGGCATTGGGGATCGTTTCTCCTGTCAGTGTGATCGTCGTGGCCCACACCTCGGTGATTGTTTACATATATCGTCACTGGAAATTAAGTGACGCAAATAAGAAAGCGCAGATGAGCACCAGTGAGGAGCAATTGTGGAGAATGCGGAAACGGATGAAAGAAATTGCTTTGAGTACTGCGGCCGTGGCTGGTACCCTACTGATTTGCAACGCGTTTGATATAACAACTTACGTGCTACAATCTGCGGGTTTATACAAATACATAAACCTGTCGCTTTCTCAACAAGCTGGGGTGGTACCGATCATCATGTCCAGTTGTATTGTTCCGTGCATTCTCGTTGCCAGTATTAAATCTGTGCGACGCTACTTTCTTGAGAATGTCATTTTCGGTTTATTGGTGAAATTTGGTTTACGCCAAAGAGGTTCATGCATGAGCACTCGTTCACAGAGTGAAGCAGACTGGACTGCGAATAACGTAAATCCAGAATAGTCATGATGTTGAAATAACATCAGACCTATCGTCTGCCAGTTTCCCTGAACTGAGCGAGATATAACTGCAGCAGGATCCCAAAGGCAAACAAAAGGCAAAGATGGATCATCATACAGAACGTTCGGCTACCGTTTCTTATCCAAAACATTTAGTGGATTATGTCATTTGGTTTTGGTTTTTGCCTCTTATGAAAACGGATTTCGATGATATGTAACAACAACCGGATTTTGCTTTATTTTACAGTTTCCATGGCACACCGACGTTCTTATGTGTTGAGATTTGTGAACCCGTTCCAGCGGTCTGTTTAGCCTTCGAAAGATTTCGTTGCTTCTTTATATCTGATGGCTCCCGATCTACAAACACATGCACGTGTTGCAACAGATGAAAAGTTTGCGGAGATCAAAAATCGTGGAAGAAAACTGTTTGAATTGTGATCTGTACTACCTTTTATTCCCCAAGTTTTCTGCGTTCTGTTTTATTCTTGTTTGTAAAGATCACGTATCCAGTTATCCTCTGCTTACGTTCTTCTTCGGTAGATTCTTCCAACTTTATCTATATATTAATCTTCCCCAGTTGCACCAAGATTTTGAATCTGTTTGAGACATACACAAGTAACTGGCGATTAGTAAACCAAATGGTGAGCATACATTTTTCTCAGAAGGTATGAGAAGAACCCGCGCACGAATAGGCATTGGGAAAATCACCAATCGTTTCGCGTTGCTTTTATTATTTCAGAATATTGACTATCATTGTTTTCATCAAACAACCAAGAATACAATGGTCATCTCTCTCAAGCATTAGAACAAAATAAATGGCGCTCTCCCGCTTTGGCGAGACGCATCGAATCGGTCAGTGCTCGTTGGGCAAACGACTTTCTTAACTTCTGTTTTCATCTCACAGTATAAGCCACAACTTGGTGATAAGTCTATCATTGGGAAATTGTTGTATAATAGAAATTCTTTTGGGTTCCCTTACGAGTTTAACGCATTGTGCACAGGTGTGCGTGATTGAATGTTGGTTCATCGAGGGGACAAAGTAACTTGATCAGAGATATTCGTCACGTAAAGAATAAAATTGGAGCACTAGGATAGCTGTGAAAAGCGTCAGAGTTGTAGATGTGGTGTTTCTGGCACAAGATCTATTTCGATCGAAATAAATACAGCTTTTGACCGAAACTTGATTTCTAGACGTATTGTTCTTTGATATATTTTTCAATGAGGACCGATGCTTGCGGCTTTGGATTGCATTTTCGGTTTCATTCAGACTTCTTCGTGAGTTAACGTCAACTCGAAATGTAGATACACTCGTCAGAACACCATACCTCTCGTATGATCCGACAATTTAGAGCAAGAAAGTACCTAGATTGAATGAAACTGAACAGAAATCGCACACAGATCTAAACAACTAAAAAATGTTTGAAATATTTTCAACATTTTTGCCATGTCTGAGCTCATTATAATTAATTACCAAAACAGACATTTGAAAATTTTAGCAATTTTGTCCGACAGTTTGCATTACATTCCGATCGTTATCCTTCTGTTGAGCACAGGCGAAGACGGACATTTTCCATCCTCATTTTCACCGTGCAATTAAATACTGGCAGCTGATGCAAAATATGAAAAAAAGAATAAATGAAAATCAGTGGTGCACTTTGAGACATGACCAGACGGATATTTTTCAAGAATAAGGATAGCTCCATATGAAGTAGACAATATGGACAAGTCGCCTGAGTGTGTCACCAGTAATGGTTCATCGGAGTGTTACCGATTCAAATTGCAATTACGTAACAATGAGGAAACGGTAAACATTTATTGAGCACTCTAAGTTTCTTACCATGAAATGGGAGCTACTTGTCAACAAAATTTAACCACCTCATTTCGCCTTCAAACGGGAAGCTCTCACAATAACGCTTCTTTGACACAATGTAGGCTGTATGACGCGTATAATTTGAAGAGAATTTCAAATAGACGAGAGTGATCTTTGATTGATTTCAAATACCCTCGTGAATAAATTAGTATTTCCCAGAACTACCGCCTATCACTCATCTGATCGGTTGAATTTTTTCAGGAATTTGAGTGCGAATTTGCGAGCAAGTTGGAATAGGGTAGGCGTGTGTACAACCACGGGTACATCATTAAGTTCCTGTTGTGATTCATGAAACCGCCTCCAGGTATCCGTGCTCCTTAGGGCAAGTACACTGAGGTATTTCTTCCGTCTGCTCTGATTGTTACTATATCGCTGCACGCGGTCATGGCAGAAAGTGCAAGTTGAACAGGCTTCATATAATATGCTAACACCCATCGGCACAGTCTGCTCTGCTTTGTTCTGCTCTGAACCGTGTGCAACCGGGTTGATAACAAGAGATAAAATGCGAAACAGATTCAGTAATACTTGGAATGTGAATTCGCAAACGCTTTCCCTCGAAGAGTCCTATAGCCACAATCGTTTCAGGGTATCGAAATTCCTTAGTGAAGTCAACTATTATTGAGCACTGTTCAATGTTGATGAGATCAAATGATCCCTGATAAAATGAAGGTCAATTTCGAGACAGCAAAAGAACAAACGAAAACGATTTTACTGATCAAAACTAGGCTAACTTTTCTTTTACGTGCGTGTTCATGTATTGTATGTTCATCTATTCCCTAGGACTGTCACTCTCATCCGGAGTGACAGTGAACTTTGAAGAATGAAATTAGTTGCCGACATCAAGAGACCACCTCATTGTGGGTGCAAGACAAGTGCACGAAAGACAGACTAAGGATAGTGTATATCTAAATGGCCATTTTATAGTTACTCTTTTCACTTTCTCTATTGTTTGAGTATACAAATCCAACTGCATTCCGTTTTTTACTTTAAGGCATCAGGCTTGGTGGAACTTCATTTTTTGTCCATTCAAACGTTATCGCTCGTCCCCCACCTCAACCAAAGTATAAGGCCTGTCTTTTCTTTATTAGGACTTGTTAAACATGATTGAGGTTCACCCGGTTGAAATCATCTTGGCTTTGGCCCTGGTATTCAATCAAGAAATAAATGACATTCACCCATTTGCTTCGGTGCTCCGAATTCAGCTCGTGTGATTTGTGTTGGAACAATTCATCTCACTGTCACTAGGTCTTTATAGCAGGCAAACGAAAGAGAAAATGGACCGAGCGTTGGATATTCATGCTCATGAAAAATACCTTTGAGAAATAATGATTTGGGACAAGAATTTATTGACTGAATTTACCACCCCATCGGTTACAACTACACGTTAGGCAGCGCACTTGGACCGGTTAGACTTGGTCAAGGGCTGCTGTGTTGCTAACCCTGAGAACTGCGGATTAATCGTTGAGAAAAATGTAGAGTTGGGTTGCAAATTCATGCACTCAATAAGTGTCACTTTTGTTAAGGCCCAATAAGGAAATAATTCAGCTCCCTCTGCATTTCCTCTTTTTCAAAGGAAGAGTTGTCTGACATTTTGCAACCCGACTCTGCACAGTTACAACGGAAAGCGCGCTACACGGACGTCACCGCAATTAAATCTCTCGTGTTGATCGATAATCATCTGGTTGTATTTACGTCATAGTTCTAGCATTTCTCACATGTGCAGGTACACACAGACGTACCAAGTTAGTAATCACTCTTCAACCGAGACATGCTTCACTTCGTGACTGTAACCGAAAAAAGCTGCCTAGTCCATAACGCTTCTAACTATCTGTAAATCACTGTAAATTAGTAGTGTTTTCCGTTTGTTCATTCCTTATAATGGATTTCAACTGACCTGATTCTGAAATCAGAAGAATACGGCTTTTAGTTGAAAGATTTATCCAAAAGGAAATATATCCAAGTATGCTTTGAAAACCAAACAAAAACGCAAACCATAACTAAAGGTTTTTGTGCAGTTAAGTAGCCAATTGTAACCGTTCAAGAGCTCGTGGTGATTCTTTCGGAGCTCTTGAGTAGCATCGTGATTTCATTTCAATCGTTCGATAGTCAAGTGACGAACACTCGTAAGTCTCTAATTCTCTTGAAAAGTTAAACAGTCACTCTGTCCGCTTCATGTTCTCACTACCGCATAACGGTTTCCAGCTAAGCTCCTCAATATCCAGTTAAGGTGACTTTGATATATCTTTCTTAGTACCCCTTGAATAGTATTTGATTTACATGTGTTGACGTCGTTAACACCGCAGTTACAGACTGTTTTGTTCTCATCGAGGCTAACTGGAACCGATCGATGCATGTGCCCTCGGTCGAGCGGGTCAGCATCAAGTCAGTCCAGGCCGTACGCGAATGCTCATGTCTATTATTGGATATTATAATATGATTTACGCAACAATGCTACATTGTTCGGTCAAATCTTGTGACTATTGTTCACTCTCCTCCACCATGACCAGTTGTATCTCCTCGAGAGTTTATCTCCGACTGTGTAATCGATTTGTGTGCCCTTAACGGAAAATGTGAAGTCTGTTCTCTAGCTGCCTTCGAATCTTCCTACTCCTTGTCGGAAACTTGTGCAAAATCATTACACATTGCAATAGTATTCCAAAAATTGCACTCAACATATATACTAAACTAATGGGAGGACATTGCGGTCGCGACCGCACTCGCAAACTGCACTGGTCTTCATGCAGTCTACGAGACAGTGAAGTAGTATATTCTGTTAAAACAATCCAAGGAAAAACAGTTTATGAATTGTTATGGGAGTTGACAAAAGATGTTCTTTTACTATGCATCTTAGGTGGAAACCTATTCTACAGAAAACGCCGTTGTTTCGTTCTATACCAAAAAGTTGAAATTTGACGTAGTGGAGGCCATGTTTAAAAAATAATGCACTTTAGGCATGACGATGTAGAGATAAGCCAGATTTTGTTTACCTATCCGCATAGATGTTGTGAACAAGCCTAGTGCGTTAACCAATAGGTGGAAGCATTTGATCAGAATGTTTGCACACGGTCTACAGGAACCATTTTGTCTAACATTCTAAACCACTTTAAGTATAATGGCCTAATTATACCAGACAA